ATTTATTTGTGTGTGTGTGTGTGTGTGTGTGTGTGTGTGTGTGTGGCCAGCTCAGCCCACCAGGGGGCGGGGTTGGCTGGCATGTGGTGCTGGGGGATTGAACCGCAGTCCCTGTTCTTTGCTAAGCTTGTTCCAAGTAGGTGCTTTAGACCACTGAGCCATCTCACCAGCCCAGTCCCCTGAATTTAGTTGAACTTGTAACACCACATTGCCCAGAAAAATGAACCTTTTGAAGAAGAAATTTGAATAAAATCATACCACAGTACACAAAAATGAAGTTGTTCAAAACTTATCGTAAAGAAAAAAGTCATTAAAGCATATATATAAAATATATTAGCTATGGAAGAACAAAATTATATAGCATCTTATTCCACATTAGAAAAAAAAAAAATAAAGACCAAGTGTGTAAGAAACTAGACTAATTAAAGGACTGGAAGAAAAAAAAAAAGGATCTGTCCTCTTTGAATTTTATGCTTATCAAACATACCTTTGAAAACTAAAAGCAAAATATTTTCCAGCTATACAAATTCAAAATATTCTAATACCTCCAGATGTAGCATATAAGAAGTAACAAAGAGCATAATTCAGAAGGCAAGAGAAATTGCTCTGTGGTCCTGGATAAAGAATAAAGAGCTCTCCAAATGATAGTTATGCAGGACTATGTAAAATATATTAGATGAACCCATTTAAAAGGTCATTGGGCCAGGGAGATGGCTCAGTAGAATAAGTGCTTCCCTGGCAAGTGCAAGGGTCTGAGTTCAATCCCTGGTTCTAGAAATAAGTAAATAAATAAAATAAAAGGTCATTGAAGATTTCTACGAAACAATATCAATCTTATGTCAGTTATACACATATTGTTTTCATGTGAGTGTGTGTGTATAAAAAGGAAGAAGTAATATAGAGTCAAGGAAAATGGAAATATACTTTTTAAAGTTTCTAATACTAGGAGAAAATATACCATGTCTTATAAGTCAAAGATACAGTATAAATCTTAAAACAAAAATTAACATTAAGCAATATTCAGAAAATCAAATATTAATTAAAAATTAAATGTTTCAAAACAATTGAGCTAAACCAAAGTTTTCATGATAGTAAAGAAGTACTAAGAATAAAACATAAGATAAATACTGAAATGGCAAATAAATGATCAGCACTTCTAACAATTTGGGGATAGATAGGATATCGCACAAAGTTCTAGTGTGTCGTGGACCTGGACAGTGTCCTTACTAGTGGCCAGTTGTCACTTGTGGTCTGAGCTACTGGTATTTCCTTGATGTCCACCCTGTAGACCCAGACAGAATCATGACCCATAGGTTGCAGGAGAGGTCCCTTTGTAGAGTATGCTGCTGTATACAAAAGAATAACTGAAAGACTGCTGTTGTATACCTCTTATTCTCCTGTGTTTAATTGTTTGTCCTATTTGGTGGGTTCTTTCCATTCTCATTCATGGAGTTGTGGTCATTTTGCTCCCTCTAGAATATCTTTTAGTAGTCTAGGCTTGGCTTTGTGGTCATGAAATTCTTTAGTTGTTCTTTGCCATGGAAGTATTTCACTTCTCCACCAAACTTGAAAGAGAGTTTTGCAGGGTATGTCAGTCTGGGTTGGAATTTGTTTTCTTGCAAGACTTGTGGTAATTTGCTCTATGCTGTTCTTGACTTGATGGTTTATGAAGAGAAATGTACCATTGTTCTGATGGGTTTTCCTTTAAATGTGATCTGTTTCTTTTCTTTCGCAGCTTTTAGTATACTGTTCTGTGCTGAATTTCTGGGATCTTGATTATTATATGTCTAGGTGTGTTTTTAATTGGAAACCAGATTTAGATCCTTTGGGAAAATCAGCCTTCCTCTGTGAGTGGAAGCTTCTATGTAGAGGCAAGATGGGAAAAAGTAACAACTTGCATCTTTTGGTTAATGTGTAGCTTTTCTCAACAAAAGTTATTACTGTAGTCATCTACATTTCCCTGGTTATCATTTATAGTAGACAGTATAGGGCTCATACCTGTAGTCCCAGCACTTGGGAGGCTGAGGCACAAGGATCCTGATTTCAAGCTCAGTTTGGACTATATAGCAAGGCCCTACCTCAAACAAACACAAAATAACATGTTTTAAAAAAGGAAAGTTAAGATGA